ATCTTCGTTGACTCCTGTTATTAAACTCACGTATTACTTACTTTGTCGTTCAGATCCATGCGCTGTGGAGAGTCCTTTTGTGTGTTTGCTTGCGGCGTCGAAGCCGCAGCAACGATTATTATTATTATTATTTTGTTTTCTTTTGGGAAACCAAGGACGAAATGCTACCAACAGTAAATAAAAGAAAAGAGATAACCGTGTTCCTTCGCCTTTTTTTATATTTATTTATGTTCCTTTCTCTACGAGCTCCTTGTGCATGCACCCACATGTATGTATGCACCACACCCAAAGAAGTGATAAACAACGTGAGGAACGCTGGAGAATAGAAGCCCAAAACAAAACAACCCGGCGTCCTCATTTTCACTGAACACATACACACACACCAAAAAAAAACCAATAAAGTGCAGCTAAAGACAATGGAAACAATACTAGAGATCCATACACATAAACCAATACATGCGTAAATAGTGGTAAAAAACAACAACAAAAGTGAAGGGTTTATTTACAATCCTCCTTGGGTTTATGCTATGACCCAAAAACAGGCAAAATAAATATATGAAGCACTACACAGGGAGAGAAAGACTGGGCTCAACCATGGATTGTAACTATGCCCATTTCTCGTTCTCAGACTATTTCTTCTGCTTCCATGACTTTTTTTTTCTTCCCCTTTCCCCGCCAGATGATTATCCTTGCTATTCCCCTTCCTTCATGTTACCTTTGCTCCTTGCACGCACAGCACTGCTCATACTTCGTCTTCTGCAGTAAAGGGTAAGCTCCTGGCTCATTCCTCCTACGCGTGCCTGCCAATTTAAAGGCAAACAAACAACAACTGAGATGCAACTCAGCAGGAACAGGCCCCACATTGACGCACACATCCTCCTCCGCATGAATTCACCGTCTAAATCAGTGTGGAACGCCGTTCCTTGCAGGCACCCATTCTTCTCTCCAGCTGGCCGCCCTTGTATCGCGCAGGGCAATCGTGGGGAGGCTCTCTGCCCATCCAGCTCTCTCTCCCTCTCTTCTCATCGGCGACTTTTCCCTTTAGTATCATTTTTTCTTCTCTCGCTCACTGCCTTTATATATATTTTCCCTCCTTTGTCGTTGTTGTTCTTGTTTTTTTTTTCTCTTCAGTTTTAAACCTTTTTTACTCCGTCGTGCCCTCCGCGCGGTACGCCAAGACTCCCAAGTACCAGACATAGCTTAGCACGCTGTCACAACAACACATGCCTCTCTCTCCCCTAAAAACCTTGAAAGAAGGTGGTCTGCTGCTCGCTTTGGAACCGAGAATTCATCCACTCCATGTCAAACTCTAGCTTCTTCTTTGGCTTGGAAACTTCAGTTGCATCTGTGGAGGCATTCTCCAAAGCATTCACCGAGAGGACAATATTGACTAACTGCTTAATATGCTCCAAGGCATCCTCGTCGTCTTCCTCAAACAAAGGCGTGCCCTCGTCGCCTTCCGTCAGCAAGCGGCTCTGGTGTTGAGTGCCATTTCGAGTAGCACCATTTATCCCATTAGATAAAAGATGAATCGTACTCTTTTCTTGCTGCGTCTGCTTGGGTGTGGGTGACCTGCCGGCAGAGCACATTTTCATCCCCATAAGGGGTGAACGTAATACATAATCTTCCTCGGACGAGGGAATTTCAGCCGCCTCGTACTGATTTTGATGCTGTTGCAAGTGATCTTCAGGCCCCGGTGTGTTTTCTGCATGAGGCGACAACAATGGGCTCACAGAAATTGGGGCAGGTGGAACAGGATGATGATGACGATAATGCTTCTGCCATCCTTCTTCCTCTTCATCCTGCTGGCCTGAGAAAAGGACATCCACGGGAATGGGTTCCATCTTCTTGCTACTGTTCCTGTTACAAGTGAAGGCGGTGTAGGTAGGCACCTCGGACGGCGAAGACGCGCCTAATAGATCGCGGAAGAGTGGTTCTGGTCCATTGGTTGTTGACCTCGTCCCCTGATCAAGATCCGCGTCGGTCACACCAATGGCCAGTGGAGGCACTGGGCGTTTCAAACTATGCCTTGTCGCGACGACGCCAGTTTTAGCCGCAAGTACGGTATCGTTAAGCGCAGTCCATGTGTCGCTGCCGATGGGCATCGGAATGGCAGGACGCGGTTTTTTCGGGTCGGCGCGCGTTGAAGCCCCAGCTGAGGTGGCTGCGGAGGTGGGAGTGGCTGCTGTGGCGGCGGCGGTGGCTGCTGTGGCTGTGGCGGCGGCGGTGTTTGTGGCGGCGTTTGTTGCAGGCCTGTTGCTAGCTGCCGTGGCACAGAGAGGCATCCAGCGATAAAAATTCTGCATCGCCCAGAGAGCCTGAAAGAGGGGGAAACGAGCTAGAGTGCTCGCGTTGGAGGCCAAGGGCTCCATCGCCTCACCGGGCGTCACAGTGGAACGTGCCCCAGCTGCCGAGGATGTGGCGAGGGATGGCATCCAATCGCTGTTGCATGAAGCGAAATTCATCCGGGACAATCCTGCCGGTCGTGTCCCATCCTTGGCTGACGCCGCATTCGAAGAGCAACACGCGCAGCCACACGTTGCGCCGGAGGCGGCGTTTGTACTAGAGCGCACAAGCGAGTAGCCACCGTAGTAGCCTTGAGTGGCCATGAAATATTTATTGGGCTCTTTTTTGTATTGTTCCTTTACCTCGCCTTCACCTTTTAAAATTTTACTTCGTTTCCTAGCAAGTTGTTCTCCTGTGTTGGAGGTTCTGACCACAGTGTAGATCCAGCATAGGTAAAAATGTCGCAGACGCAGACGCACGCGCAGAGAGAGAGAAAGAAGAAAAAACAGTGAGGTGAGGGATATAGTGAGAACACAACAGGAGCAGAAACACCTTAACATGCGTGTCGTGGCGGGGATTTGGGCGGAGAAACCTCTGTCATCGCAACCCAGAGCGTCAGCAAAAACAGTGATATCAACGCAGCAGGCCGGCGTTTGCCCACTCTGCTGCTGCGGCGCTATTGGTTGGTTTTGCCTCATCCCATGGACCGTTAATTTGCTTCTTCATGCTCCCATGCAGCGTCACAAAACACCATGGGATAGCTAAAGACACGGCCACCACCAAGAGGCAGTACAGTACAGCAAACATAGGCACCTGCATCAGGCACCCAGCGGCTAACCCACAAAGCGCAAATGTGAGTCCTACATGCGCCGTCGCAGACGTGCGCTTGAGGTGATGCCTTGGAATGGGCGAAAGCGCAAAGCAGAGAATACCAAATGTGATCAGGGCGCCACTACGAAAAAAGCTTTGAATACGCGAGGCCACGAGAATTGTCCCAAATGTTGCTGCACTAACCGCCGTATTTTGTTTGCATTTTTCCGTGTTGCAGTTCAGGTAGTTGTAGTCCGTTAAGAGCACATGAAGGCACATGGCAAAGGTGCTAAGGGCGACAATAGTGTCATTGCTGTAGGTGGCCGTGAGGGTCTGCAGGGTGGGGGAAAGAAGAATAATCACGGCAACGAGGGGAAGAACCTGCCTTCCAAGCCTCAACACATGCTGGAGAAGCGGCGTTGGGGTCTCGCCCCGCTCCATGGCCTGTTGATGCTGCAGTTCCACGTAAAAAACAAAGGAAAGCGCAAAGAGGGCGGCGTTGATCAAAGTCAGCGTGTACGCGTTCCCCTCTTCCGAGTACATCACCGTGAATGCAAAAAGAAAAACACGACAAACGTCAACTGTTGCACAACAACAAAAGTGTCCAAGACAACCTTGCCGTACTCGTACGTTTTCAGGTTGACATTCTCACGCAGCCCCAGCATAAACTTCTCGGGGTCCACGTAGTTGTCCTCAAAGGGCTGCCGCTCATACAACACCTTCCGCCACACCGGCGCCGCGGAGGCCGCTGACGAGGCTGTAGGATTCGGCGTGGCGAGGAATTCGTCGCTACTCGTCGCCAGATGCAGGCGGTGCTGCGCCACCGCCGCCGCCGCCGCCGCCGCTGTCGCCGCGCCGTTCATCACCAATTGTGCCGGGTTGCTTTCTCCTGACGAGAGCTGCAGAAACCGTTTAAGCGACTGAGCGGAATTCAAAAGTGAAAAAAAGAAAAAAAGAAAACAAGCCGTAGGCGTGCGCACAAAGCAGTAAGACCAAATGCAACCAGCACCCTCCCGCACACACAAAAAATTTTTTTTACAAGCAGAGGAAAGAAAAATAGGGAATAATTGATTCTCAGCATTGTGGAGTTTTGTCTTTGTCGTTTTTTCTTTCTTTGCTGCCTGTAACGTGTGTGAGTATGTGTGGTTGGGGGTGGGGGGTGTTCCGCGCCTCCTTCCATCTCTCTCTCTCTCTCTCTCTCTCCACACACACACACACACACACACAC